GGGGGGGAGCAGGGCACAGGCACCAGGTGGAGGTGGATGAACCCAGAGCAGGGTTGGGCCACCTACACATCTCTGAACAAACCCATTTTCAGACCCAAAATCCCTGCACCCCCCCAGCTGCTTCCCCCAGCCCTCTCAGGTTGTTGGCTCGATCCCCCCCCCATCAGGCAGCAGCCCCCCCGGGCTGGGAGAGGGAAGTCCTTCCCGGGTGGGTTTGCCCAAAGCTGTGGAGAGGAGCCCTGGCCCCTGTGCCCCTCGGTGGGTGTCTGTGGGTGTAGCTTGTGCCCGGTGTCCCGGGAGCCCCGGCACCTTCCTGGGACCCCCTCACCCCCCAGGCACAAAAAGCGGGGGAGTCAGTGGCTTTCCTACATCCCCCCCCCAACCCCGAGCGAGGGGAGGAAACGGACCCAGCAGAGCCCCATAAATTACTGGATTCTGTTCTGCAAGATCGGGCAAATTAAACGTGTCAGAGCTCCAAGGCCGTGTGTGCTTTGGCGCGGGGAGAGCTTTTCCAGCCACGCCGCTGCCAAACGCCTCCCCCCGGCTCCCGCTCCTCCGGGTTATCCTTCCCCCGGGCACCCCCGCGCCATCCCCGCTCCCGGCTCCGACCCGGGCTTTATGGCACCGCGTCTGCCGCCGTCCCGCCGGGGGGGACCGCGCCGGTGCGGCCACGACTCGCCCGGGACCCGGGACACGGGGGGGGATTTGTCCTGGATGTCGGTGGGACCCGTCCCCCCGTGGCACAGCCAGCCCCGTCCTTGCGTCAGCCTCTTCCCCAGAAAGCTGCCGGGGAAAGACGCACCGGTCAGCACTTTTATGGTAGATTAATATTCAGAGGGAAAAAGCACTGATTTAGTGAGGCCCAAGCACAACAAAGGCTGAGATTTATGGCCTCCTGTACCGGGGCGTTGCGTTCCTCGCAGTTCTGTCTGTTCTGAGTCTGCAACAAAGGAGAGGGAGCCTTATGCCTGCGTCAAGGACTGGGGACCCGGGGACCGAACCCTGCACCGGGCGTCACGGGGGGCAGCTGGGGGTGTCCCCACAGTGTCTGCCAGGGGTGGGCCCGTCCTGCCCCTGCCCACCCTCCCACCCCGGCTGCACCCGATGGAACCCCGGCATGGGGATACTGGGGAGATACTGGGGGGATGCCAGAGGGATGCCGGAGGGATGCTGGAGGGATGCTGGAGGGGATACTAGGGGGACACTGGGGAGATGCTGGAGTGATGCTGGAGGGATACTGGGAGGATTCTGGAGAGATGCTGGAGGGATGGGGGGGTAGATGCTGGAGAGATGTGCCGGAGGGATGTGGGAGGGATGCTGTGGGGATGCTGGAGAGATGCTGGGGGGGTGCCGGAGGGATGCCAGAGTGATGCTGGGGGTATACTGGAGGAATGCTGGGGGATTTTGGGGGGGATTCTAGGGGGGATGCTGGGGGCTCGTGCTGCAGGGCTTCCCCCCACAGCTGGAGCTGAGCCGCGATGCTGCCACCGGCCCGGCCCAGGCTGTGCTCAGGATTTGGGAACATCCCAGGGGTGCGGAGGGTGCCGGGTCCCTCGGGGCTCTCAGCGGAGCGGGAGCTGCCCGTGGCTGCCCCGGTTCATACCCCACGTTTTGTTGGGATGAAATGGAGCCGATCTGTGGTGTTTGCCAGGGGCTGCCGTGCCAGCTGCCGGGGCAGCGACGTGCGGCGGGGGAGAGAGCGGTGCCAAGCTCCCCCCTCGGGAAGGGCCGGGGTGGCCGGGGCCGGGGCACGTGCCAGGTCACCGATGGCCACCGCAGGGCTCGGTGTGGGAGCCCCATGTGCGAATGGGCCCTTCCATCCTGCCCTCCCCACACCCAGCACCCACCCCACGGCCCCAGGGATGGGGCTGGCAGAGGGGGGTGAGGGGTTCTCCTCCCCCAGGCATCCCCAGGGTTTCGGGGAGTGCCACCCTGAGCCCCAGGCAGATTTTGGCTGCAGCCAGCCCTCCCGGGGGCTGCGGCCATGGTCCTGCTCTCCTTGAGCTTCCCGCAGTGCCCACTCAGCAGCCCCCACCTCTCGGGGCGGGGGGCGCAGGCTTATTTCCTTACAAAAAGGCAATTTATGGCTGGAAATCTGCCCTGGCTTCATTGCCAACCCCCTCCTGCTCCTCTCACCCTCAGCCGTGGGGCTGGGGGCTGCTGGCACCCCTCTGCCCACCGCGCTGGGGGGCTGCCCGTCCCGTCCGCCCCTGCATGGCACAGAGCGGGGTCTGCCTGGCCACAGCAGCTCCGGGGGGCAGCGAGGGTTTTTGGGGGAGCCCTGTGCCCCCTCGCAGGTTGCCTCCGCCACAGCTGTGCACATCTGGCTCCCTCTTCCCTCAGCTGTGGGTGGCCGCGGGGGGGGCTGGAGCCAGACCCCTGGTCCTGCTGACCCCACAACTGGGTGGGACGCGCAGGGTGGGGGGGTGTCACGGCCCCGGGTGGGAGGGGGGGTGAATCCAGGGTGCCCCCTGAGCCGTGCAGCAGGAGCGGGGCCGTGGGATGCCCCAGGGTGGGAGTGCAGAGGTCCCTGCCATGGCTGGGGCTGGACACAGCCCAGCTCAGCCCCGCACGGAGCAGCCAGGTCCTGGGCCCCCGCCAAGGGATCGTCTGGGTCCTGCACAGCCGGAGGGCTTTAAAAGGAGAGGAGGAGGAAGGCGAGGAGTGGAGGAGACAAAGGATGCTGTGGGAGCCAAACACGCCATTCTGGGCCCAGGGCTTGGTGGCCACCAGCCCTAATGCCCCCGGCCACCAGCTCAGGGGGGCTCCCACAGGCAGTGACGCCAGATTCTCGATTGTTTTGGGGTCATTTCCTGAGGGATCCCGTCCCACCCACCTCCTAAGTGCAATTGCTGGAGGAGGGTCCGGTGTTGGGTAGAGCTGGAGATGGCTTTGGTCCTGCTGGTCCCCGCTTGCCAGGGTTTCCCACAGAGGGGTCACAGGATGAGCTGCTGCCGCCGTGTCCTGGGCTTGCTGAGACCCCTGGGGTCCTGCTCCGTGCGGGGGCCACCTTCGTGGCTGGCTCTGTGACCGGTGCTGGCACCGGGGTGGGAGGGGGGGTGAATCCAGGGTGCCCCCTGAGCCGTGCAGCAGGAGCGGGGCCGTGGGATGCCCCAGGGTGGGAGTGCAGAGGTCCCTGCCATGGCTGGGGCTGGACACAGCCCAGCTCAGCCCCGCACGGAGCAGCCAGGTCCTGGGCCCCCGCCAAGGGATCGTCTGGGTCCTGCACAGCCGGAGGGCTTTAAAAGGAGAGGAGGAGGAAGGCGAGGAGTGGAGGAGACAAAGGATGCTGTGGGAGCCAAACACGCCATTCTGGGCCCAGGGCTTGGTGGCCACCAGCCCTAATGCCCCCGGCCACCAGCTCAGGGGGGCTCCCACAGGCAGTGACGCCAGATTCTCGATTGTTTTGGGGTCATTTCCTGAGGGATCCCGTCCCACCCACCTCCTAAGTTCAATTGCTGGAGGAGGGTCCGGTGTTGGGTAGAGCTGGAGATGGCTTTGGTCCTGCTGGTCCCCGCTTGCCAGGGTTTCCCACAGAGGGGTCACAGGATGAGCTGCTGCCGCCGTGTCCTGGGCTTGCTGAGACCCCTGGGGTCCTGCTCCGTGCGGGGGCCACCTTCGTGGCTGGCTCTGTGACGGGTGCTGGCACCGGCGTTGGGGTGTCTCCATCTCCTGGAGTTGCCCAGGTGAAGAGGATCCTGCACCGGGAAGAGGAGCCAGATGTCCTTGCTCTGGGGCCACCGGTCCCTGCAGAATCCCCAGGGGCTTCGTCCCGATGAAGGGCAGAGCAGTGTCCCCAGGGTCCTGCAGGAGGGACCCTCTGTGCCCTGGGGTCCCCCAGGGGATGCAGAGGGCACCCGGCCTGCGTGTGCCCACCCCTTCCCCAGCCCCGCGGTGTGCGTTAGCAGCGCTGCTGGAGCTGCTCTGCTTATTATCATATTTAATTGCCCTCCTGGTAACCCCAGGAAATGAGCAGAAGATGGTGATAGCAGCAGTTTCTGATGATGTAAACACGAGCTCCAGCTCGCCCGCCGCCCGGCCAAGTCCGTCCCGGGGAGAGCAGTGATTTATGAAGACCCCCAGCCCCGCTCCCCCCGCTGCCGGCTGCCTGGGCTGCCAGTTTAATCTCGGCCTGTGAATTCAACATAAATCACTTGATTAAAAGCTCTACTTAATTTAGAGGGGGGTGGGGGGGGGAAGGAGGGGGAGCAGAGCGCAGCTGATCGATTTAATTTACACAGGGAAACAGCAACAAGCAGATGCTTTTAAAAGGGCCAGAGAGGCCGATGATGCTGCAGCTGCTTCATCTTAACCATTTCGGTGCTCGGCAAAGGGGCTGCAGCCTCTCGTTACCCCCAGGTGAGCCCCCACCTGGACCCCCCCATGGCCAAGCTGCTCAGGGGGGGGGCATGGGGCACAGGATCCCCCATGATGCCCCAATTGAGGGTCCTGGGCAGCATCTTTAACCCAGGGCCAGGGGTTTCTGGAGGCAGCAGGTCAGGTTTAAACACAAAGAGGCTGGGGCCGGCACTGACTCCGTCCTGGGAGGAGGAAAAAAGACAGGAAAAATGGAAATTGAACCAGGACCACCGTGGTTACATCAGGAGGGGGGAGGCTGCCCGGCCAGACCCCCACCATCCCATCCCAATGGGGGCTCGCAGGGTCCAGAGCTGCATCACCCCCAGTCCACGGGGCTGGTGGCACCTTCTGAGGGGTCCTCGGGTGGGTTGTATCCAGGAAGGGACCCTCCAGGTGACACTTTCTGGCACCATCACAGTTGCCCACATGGAGTTTCGGTAGCAAAAAGGTGGTGAATGGTGTTTGGTGGCTGAACAGGAGAATATTTTCACAGGGAATGCTGAAGCCATGAAAACCAGAGCTCCCACAAAAGCAGCCACCGTTCTCTGAGCGTCGCTTCCCTGAACACGGAGCTCCAGCACCCGGGCCCCTACGGCCCCTTCCCCATCACCCCCCCAGGGACGGGGCCAGGGCTGGCAAAGTCTCGGTTAAAGTCTTTAATAATTACAAGAATTCCAGATTCATTACAGAAGAGTTTACAACAAATAATATTTCTCCATACAAAGGCAAAATAAACTTTCAAGTAATAGCGTCCCGGCGCGGGAGTCTCAAGGCCAGTGACGGGGAGGGAGGGAGGGGGCACACGCAGCCCCTTCCCCGGCCCCCGTCCGTCCTCCCCGGCACCAGCTCTGGGGAGCAGAGCCCGGGCACCGCAACCGCCTCGGGGACGGGGACCACGGGCAGGGACGGGCCGAGCGGTGCCACCCCCCGGGCGCCGGTAAGGCACTGGTGGGCATCGCCCGGGGAGGGGGGCTACGGAGGGTGGGCATCCCCCGGCTGGGGCACGGCAGGGCTGGGAGTGGGCACCGGTGTCCCAGTGCCTCGAGGGGGCTGGCGTGACCCCCAGCTCCTTCCTCCAGGGAGCCAAGCGGTGGGGCAGGGGCTGCAGCCCCCTCCCCAGGGCACCGGCACCGCCTAAAGCACCAATATGGTGCCGCGGGCGCCCGGCAGGCGATGCCCGGCCCCAGCCCTGCCAGAGCCCCGGGGGGACACGGGGGGGGACACCAGGGCAAGGCCAGGCACGTAATGACAACGTATTCCCAAAAGGCATCGACACATTATTATTATTGTTTAATACAACCCCATATAAAACTGAAGCAGCAGCAGCAATTCTTATTGAGGGACCTAAACTGAAATAGGTTTAGAACATAATTTAAAAAAATAAAAACAGCAAAAGTAGCAAAATATATGAATTTTTTTTTTTTTTTTTTATAGCAACTGATATCTACCAGCCACTAGTACCTTACTACCAAACTGGTATATCTCTGGTAACAACCCTTTTAAAAAGACATGTAAATATATATTCATATTTATACATATTTTTAGTTATGTACACAGGACTTCTGTTTTTAGCACTGGTGGGTTTGGCTGCCCCTGCCACCGGTGCTGAGCCCCGCGGGCACCGCGTCCCCCCCTTCCAGGGGAGCAGGGGGTCGGTGCTGGCGCCGCGGGACCGGCCCTGGAGCATCCCCATCCCGGGCACAGGACCCCGGTGCTGCCCACGAGGTGTCCGGGCTCCGTGGCCACAGAAACCCAGTGCCGGGCTCGGCTGAGCGAGTTCTCCAGGTCCTCCAGACACAACACCCCATCCCGGGATGGGTGGCAGCTCCCCGGGCAGGCACTGCCCACGGGAGAGGATTTTGGCTTCACCAAGTGGGAATATTCAAGCACAGACTTCATGGAAAAAAGGTTTTAAAGGTAACGAAAGGGAACACCAAAGAAACCACCGGAAGAAAGGAAACCTTTGGGGTGTGAGAGCTCGCAGCCGAGGGGCAGGGGTGGGTTTGGGGGGTGAGATGCTGCCGTTGTGTCTCTGAGCCCCGTTCTGCAGCAGCTCAGCAGCGCGGGCAGCGCGGGCAGCGGCCCCCGGTGCCCCCCGGGCACGGGCACGGCGCGGTGTGGCAGTCCCTGCGGCAGTGCCACCCTCAGTGTCGCTTCAGTCCGCTGTTGGTGTGCTGGGGGGGGAACTTGGGAAGGCACGGCTCGTCGGGGAGAGGGTCGTGAGAGAACACAGAGTCCTCTCCCGAGGAGCAGGTGGAGCTGCGCGTGTCCGGGAAGCCGGGGGAATACTGGTCCAGAGGCATGGAGAGGTCCAGGTACTCCTGGGGGGGAGGAACACCGAGGAGGGGCTCAGGAGGGGACCGAGCATCCCCCCAGGGAGCACCCCCCCACACCCCCAGGCAGGGTCGGGGGGTGTCACGGGTGCCAACTCTCCTACCTGGTTGGAGGTCATGGCCACGATCCGATCCAGATCTTCTACCAGCTGCTTGAAGGTGGGTCTCTGGGAGGGGACGGCGTGCCAGCAATCCCGCATCATCATGTACCTGGGGGGGCAGAGGGAGGGCTGAGCCCGGGGCGAGCGGCTGGGGCTGGGGACCCCCCACCCCCGGGAGCAGAGCAGCACCCAGGGACGGTCCCTGGCACTCAGGCTGGGACCTGTGGCCAGCAAAAATGCTATTCTGGGGATTCAGGGCTAATCCCTTGGCTGGGAGGACGGGACCCCCTGCCCACCCTCCTGGCTGTGAGCGCTGGGACGGATGTGGAGGTATTTTGGGAGGAGGATGTCGGGGAGCAGAGCTAGTCCCTGCTCCGGGGTCACCCCGGGACCCACTCCCAGCGAGAAATAACGCAGGGAGGTGGTGATTACTGCAAACAGATGGAGCTGATGTGTTTGCAGGGCTGGGAACTGCTGGGAAAGTGACTCTGCCTGTGTCCCCCTGTGTCCCCCTGCGCCCCAGAGACTCCCCATCCCACGGGGTGCCAGGGTCCCCCTCCCTCCCCGTCCCAGCGCCGCACTCACAGCTCGTTGGTGCAGTTGCTGGGCTTGTCCATCCTGTGACCTTCCTTCAGCAGCTTGAAGAGCTCCTCGACGGGCACGCCGGGGTAGGGCGAGCCGCCCAGGGTGAAGATCTCCCACAGCAGCACCCCGAAGGACCACCTGCCCGGGGCGAGCACAGGGAAATGCTGGGGCGCGTGGCTCCCGTGGGGCCAGCACCCCCCTTTTCACTTCAGAAGCTCGTTTGCGGGGAGGGAGCAGCACTAACAGCTTCCATTTGCTCTGGAGACAAACGAGCCCCAGCGCCAAATGCAATTTGGATTCAAAATATTTTGTCTGCCGACGCTAATTATATTTTCCCTTAAATTAAGAGGGATCACATCTGCTGCGCGGTGCTGCGGGTCCCGTTCAGCAGCGGGCGCTGGGACCTCCAAGAGACGCTGTGAGATGCAACGCAGGCAGCGAGAGCGCTGCTGGCCCAGGTGGCCACCAAGGGCCACGTCCCCCAGCCCACGGCAGAGCGCCCAGTGGACAAGTGAGGGGTCCCCCGTGCTGGCAGCTCCGGCTCCCCATCTCCCCCCGTCCCAGCCCATCACTTTGCCCCGTGGCCAGTACTCACACGTCGCTCTGGTGGGTGTATATTCGGTCGAACAGAGCCTCCGGGGCCATCCACTTCACCGGCAGGCGGCCCTGGGACAGGAGAAAGCCCCACGTGGGCTTGGTGCCACCAAGGAGCGAGCCCTGCCTGCCCGTGGCACGGCTGACCCGGGTCGGGGCACCCCTGGCACGGAGAGCCCAGCTGCCCTCGCCCACCCCAGCTCAGCCCCTCGCCCACCACTCACGTTGGTTGTTTTCTTGTAGTAATCGATGTGGTGGATGTCACGGGCCAGACCGAAGTCAGCGATCTTCATCACGTTGTCCTCGGTCACCAGGACGTTCCTGGCCGCCAGGTCCCTGTGGATGCACTGACCCAGCACGGGGCTGTCAGGGGGTCCCCCAAGCCCCCCAATGGTTCCCCCATGAAGGAATGGGCTGGAAGGGAAGGGTGCAACCCCTCCAGGAGACCAGCCGCCGGGCTCCCCATCCCACCACCGCACCCCGGGAGCTCCTCACCTTCTTGGAGGCCAGGTACTCCATGCCCCGGGCCACCTGGTAGGCGCAGGAGACCAGGTCCTTGAAGGAGAGCTGCTCCTCGGGGACGCGGGTGGGGTTGTAGCAGTACTCCATGCCGGGGGGCCGCCGGGCTTGCAGGTACTCCCGCAGGTTGCCCTTGCTCGCGTACTCCACGATCACGTAGAGGGGTCCTGCAGGGACGGCGGGGTGAGTGGCTGGACCACGGAGTGGGGTCGGCCCCTTCCCACCACGGGGATGGCAGCCGGAGGGGCAGCCCAGGGGATGTTCCCCCCCCGCTCGCACACCCTCACCATCCTGCGTGCAGGCCCCCAGCAGGTTGATGATGTTCTTGTGCTTGCCGATCATCTTCATCATCTCCATCTCGGAGATGAGGTCGGACAGGTCCTTCTCCGTGGCGTCGGCTAAAGCAGCGGAGAAGGGCGCAGTCAGGGGGGGCCAGGCTGGGTCCCCCCCATCGTTGCACACCCAGCCCCAGCCTGTGGCATCGTGCTGGGACCCCACTCCCTCCCTTCTCACCACCACTTACACTTGAGCATCTTCACGGCCACCTTGGTCACGCGGTTTGGCTTGTCCTTGTCGAGGCCGATGGCTTCTGCCAGCACCACCTGCCCGAAGCACCCTTCTCCCAGGGGCTTGCCCAGGATCAGCCTGGAGGGAGGAGAGACCCTGAGGCGGGGGCCGGTAGCCACGGGGGGAAGGAGGTCGGTCGCCAGCATTGGGAAGCAGCACCAGGAGTGCCACCATCCTCCCCCAGGCTGGGACAGGCCCTCACCTGTCCCGGGGCAGCTCCCAGCGCGGGTCCTCGGGGAGCTCGTACTCGGAGACGCCGGCCAGCATGGGGGTGCCGCTGGAGGAGAGGCGCGAGGGCCGCACCAGCATCATGCCCGAGTTCATGGAGGAGCTGGAGTCGGCCGACACCTGCACGGGGACCGTGGGTTACCTTCTCGCCGCGCCGGGGCCGGGAGGGAGACGCTGACCCGGAGCCTTCACACCCCC